AGGGCTACTTAGTCGTTATAATGATAAGGAGTAGACAACCTTCTATGTCGAGACTGTGAAAATCACTCCATTTCCAGGTGAAGCTTGTAACCCGCCAGCTGTGCAAAATCATCTGTTTAATGCTCTCGTACTGGACATATGGACAAGCGCATGACGGCATAATATTTGGAAGTGGTATCTATTTCACGCCAACAGAACGCCAAGACGAGACGTAAGCCGCTAAGTTAAGTCAGATTTCCTCGAAACAATGAAAAATATTGCAGGTTATCAAGTTTCCTCGGCTCTCTTGCAAATGTTGTCCAAAACAGTATCACATCGATCTTCCGAAAAATCGCGATAACAAGGGAAGAGTACCTCCTAATGAAGCTCATCAATCTCTTCGATAGTGAGCACTTGGATTGTCATTTTATTGCACCAAAATTCTATGGTCGCATTTTTGGTTTCTTGATATTCGCTTCATTCTCTTTCATTAATAACAAGCACACACACAGATTACTGCACGAATCTCAACTAAGGGAAGGGAGCTATCACTTTCTTCGCTACCGACCGTACTAAAAACAGCGTGAAAAACACCACGTGAAATAAACGCGCTGATAGAGCGGCAAGGATACCCGCTTTTATGCGAAGGATTTATGATAGCGTTCACTAACTAAAACGTATCGCATATCCTTCAGCCACCTTCCACAGAACGAGCATGATGCTACTATGGCAGCTGGTGGCGAAGGCAAGGAACGGGGGAGAATGGAAGAGCAAGAAAGAGTGGAACGAATTGCTAATAAAACTAAGGCATAAATAAGCGTTAGGAGTTCGTTCCAGCGTGATTTCGTGATTGCGACAACACCCTCTTCTAGTACAGTGCGCGTCAATTGTATATGCCACCCCCTGATTTTTTCAGTTTTCTGACTTATTTGGAAATTTCGTAAATCGGCATAGCAACCATCGTTTTCGGCGTGTCGGAAAACTAAGAATGGTGTTGTTTGATTTTGGTTAACGCGTGGATTTGAATTGCTCTGTTCTTTTGAAGAAAATGGGCCGAAATTTCTTCAGAATTTCTCATGTCTCTAACGCTATTCAGCTACGGTGTGCATGTAATACAAATGAGGAAATCCTCCACTTATGCAATGCACACAAATGGTGGAGCATTTATAACTAATTAGTTCGGAATATTAGCCCTTATACTGGACGGTAGCAGCATGAAAACGCTTTATCAGAGAAAGAGCTGTGTGCTCACTTCTTGCGATCGCTCCTGCTGCTTATTGTAGAACTCATCGAGGAGTGTATCCAGGCAAAACTGGGGAAATTGAAGTGCTCAAGGAGCTCTTAAATTCATTTTCCCGCTTCGAATCCGTGGTCAACTTTATTTGTGGTCTCGGCTCCCTGCGAAGCTCGAAGCGTTCACGCTCACAAAGTCTCTGTTCAGAGAGAATATGACTCGTACCTACTATCCGTCTGGTACCCATCACTGAACTCGATCGAAGTTTTCTTATCAAGGCGATGCAATGATGGCCCATGCCACCACTTCGGTGTCCCGTTCAAGTTACAACTGGCCCATGTCATCATTTTCGCTCGCTCGGTACGAAAATTTTTCCAGAGAGAATCCGACAAAGTTCGGCGATGGGTACTACGCGGATTGTGAGTGCAACTCATATTCTCTCTGAACAGAGACTTTGTGAGCGTGAACGCTTCGAGCTTCGCGGGAGCCGAGACCACAAATAAAGTTGACCACGGATTCGAAGCGGGAAAATGAGAATTTAAGAGCTCCTTGAGCACTTCAATTTCCCCAGTTTTGCCTGGATACACTCCTCGATGAGTTCTACAATAAGCAGCAGGAGCGATCGCAAGAGTGAGCACACAGCACTTTCTCTGATAAAGCGTTTTCATGCTGCTACCGTCCAGTATAAGGGCTAATATTCCGAACTAATTAGTTATAAATGCTCCACCATTTGTGTGCATTGCATAAGTGGAGGATTTCCTCATTTGTATTACATGCACACCGTAGCTGAATAGCGTTAGAGACATGAGAAATTCCGAAGAAATTTAGGATGGCATAAGCAATTGACGCGGCCCATTTTCTAACAACACCATTCCCAGTTTTCCGACACGCCGAAAACGATGGTTGCTATGCCGATTTACGAAATTTCCAAATAAGTCAGAAAACTAGAAAAATGAGG